TACGCAACCAGCGCCGGCGCCTGAGGTAATCGGCTTTGCGACCGCCGTTCTCGGCGCCGCGGCCGCCTCCTGCCGATCCAAGAATATCGGGCGGTCCGCCAGGACCCCGCCGAGGTTGCTGCGAAGCGGCGTCGACGTTCGTGGTCACCCGGACGCGCGCGGACGCGTCGAGTAACGGGATCGCAGCCGCGGCGCGCGGCGCCGCCTACCTCCGCCCGACGGCGCCGCGCAGACTTCGGGGCCGTCGGACCTTTCGGCACACTTCGCGCGCCGACCGCGGAGCCGTCTAGGTGTCTTCGCTGCTCGTCGTCTCGCCGGTGGAGCCCGCGGCGCGCCGGCGACGACGTCCGCGGGCGCCGCGGGCGGCCGCCGCGCGCGGCCTCGGTCCGCCGCAGCGACGCGCGGCGCGGGAACGCGTCGTTCGATGTCATCGCCGGCGGGGACCGGAGGCTCGCGAACGCCGGCGGCGCCCGCGCGGCCGAAGTCGTCGCCGCCGGCGCGAGGACGGCCGCGAGGGCCGGAGAGCCCGGCGCGGAGAAGACGCCCTTCGCGACCTTCGGGGCCGTCGCGCTGCGTCGCGATGGCGTCCGGGGGTCCGGGGCGGCGGTTCCCGCGCCCCGGCGCCTTCCGCAGCGGCCCCGGGCCGGGCCGGGCGCCGGCACGCGCGGCTTGGGGCGCCCAGACGAGTGCAGCGCGCCACTGCCAGGGCGCCGCGCGACGCCTAATCCCGCGAATAGCGCCGGTAGTACGCGCGCACGGCTCCCGCCCGGGGGCTCGGGGCGCCGCGGGACTCGGGCTTAGGGACCTCGGCAGGAGACGCGCGCGCGGCGGCGCGGCCGCGGCGGCGCGGCGGCGCGGCGGCGCCGCTTGCTCTCGGCGTCGCACAGTCGTTTGGAAAACCAGCGCGAAATTCCTCCGAAGTGGTTCCGGACGTTCTTGGCGGACACGTTCTTGAGCGTGCCCATGGCCGCTCTGAAAGGTTTCGAAAGCCACGTAGTGTTCCATCGCTTCTGCTTCTTCGCCGCCGGCTCGGGCGCAGAGGCCATGATGCGCTCCAGCGTCGAGCTCGGACCTCCGGCCAGAGCGAAGACGCCT